GATGCTTTGGGGGCCAGCATGCCCCTCTTGTTGAATTTCAACTTGGCTAGTTCTGCACTTTGCCTAAATGGATTGCCTCTCAGGAGGAAATGCTTTAAATGATAAGGCTCATTCAGGGGATGTCCCTGCCCTGAGCTGCAATATTTCTTGATCAATAGAAAGAAATTCTCTCTAAAGTAAGCAGACTCACAGAGGCACCTTTGTTCCTGGCCCCATCCACATGGCCCTGCTTGGCACTAAATCCTGGACAGTGGACTTCTTTAAACTCTTGGAAGAGAAGTTTTGCCTAGGAATAGCAGGGAAACCTAGAGGTTGTGAGACAAGATGTTCTGGGCTTCTGTGGGTACAATACCTCCCACTGCAGAGGAGAGGGTCAGGACTGGAACATGGGAAGGTGGCCACCCATCTCTACAAGATGACTGTGACCTACACAGTGAGGGGAACCAAGAGCACAAGGACAGGAGAGGGGTGTGTATAAGAACAGGTGGGGAGGAAGAGAAGGAGGATAAGAGGAAGAAGAAGAGGAGAAGCAGGAAGAAGAGGGGAGAGGAGAGGATAGGAGAGGACAGAGGAGGGGAGGGGAGGGGAAGGGAGGATGGGAGAGGAGAGGAGAGGAAAGAATTTGAGACAGAACATAGGGAGTTGGGGAGGTGGAGGAGGTTGACAGAACCAGAAGCAGGTGGCACAGGTTGTCTTGTGTCCCCACAGCACTAAGATGTTACAACCTTAATCCAGAACCTCAGAATGGGACCTTATTTAGAATTAGATTTTGCTGTAGATGCAACCAGTTATGCGAAAATGAGGTCCTACTGGAGTAGGGAAGGACCTCGATCTAACCTGATCAGTGTCATAAAAAGGGGAAATTTGGACACAAGACATGCACATGGGGACAAGGCCCATACATCTCTGGAGTTGAGGCCACCCTGTGTGTTATGGTAACTTTAGCAGACTAACACAACGGAGAGAAGGAAAAAAAATGAGAGAGAAGAGGAAAATGGAAGATGAAGAGGAGGAAATCTGTGCAGAGCTGCCATCTCCTTCCTAAACCATGACCTTGCTGGAGCCAGGTGCCGGGTGACCTCACTGGCCCCAGCGGCAGGTGGCTTAGGAAGGGGAGGTCCCCCTGCTCGCTCCCCCTGCCTGTCCGTCTTCCAATCTGCTCTGCTGAAGCTACCTCTTAGGAAGATTAATTTTTAATAAATCAGCGCTCTTGTTTTTCTGTACTTATTAAAATTTAAGACAGTGAGTCATTGAACCTGTAAGGCCTGGGCTGACTAATTACCCGGGCACAGCTGCCTGGGATGACCGTGCGGCCCTTGGGGAGGAAGCAAAGCTGTCTGTGCTGGGAACGGACAGAAGACTGGGTGGTGACGCTGCCTCCCTGTGATCGGTGCAGTCACTCTGTCACTGCTGGGCCAAGGGCAGGGAGCGGTCAACTCGCTCACCAGTCCTTACCCTTTGGAGGAAGTGGGCCATTGAGATAAGGGAAGACTCAGGCCCTGCCATGTGCCCATAGGGCATTTCCAGTTACCCTCTAATGAGGTGTCCACAAAGAGGGGTACAGCCTCTGCCAAGAGGGTCTCAGCATGCATCGGGGTGGGGTGTGGGAAAATACACAGCTTCCTACTTTCCTTCTCACCAACTAGCCAAGCATGCCCTGATGCTGGCTGGACACTGCTCCCCGCTCAGGACCTGTCCCTTTCCTAAGAAGACTCTGCCTTCTTAGGCAACCTCACCTTCTGTGCAGACCCCACTCTCTGCCTAGAAAAGCCCTCCTCTGTTCCAGCTCAACAGATTCCCACCTCCGCCCTGTGCATGTCCCAGCACTGCTAGACTGGGCCCTGACCACCTCCACCCCAGGTCCATCAGCCTCTGCCCCCATGTGCCCTTGGCCTGGCATGCTGGCTGCAGTCTTCCCAATTCCCACTCTGGGTGGCGTCTTTGTGTGCCGCTCCTTCCCTCTGGAACCCTGAGCACCCTTCCTGGGAGGGACCTGCTTGCACCTCCAGCTCCGAATCAGGCCCCCCCCTCCCAGCACTCTCCCGCATGAGTCCTCCATCTTTCCACCCCATCCACGGCCATGCTTTCCCTGGGCACACCTCAGGTCATGCATCATTACCATGAAGGCCCAAGGGTGAGGTCTATTATGTCCTATCTCCAAAACCCAGTACAGTGTCTGGCTCATGGTACATGAATAAACAAACACAGGGCAGTAGTTACAGACAACATTAATCAAACATCCCTGGGAACCACGGGAGATTTATGGACCTGAAGCCAAAGGTCAAAGGTTCAGGACCTCCTATCATTCTGACGTCAGAGGAGCAAAGCAACAGCAGATGATTCACGTCTCCAGGCCACTTGGTGCCTTTTTCTAGAACATCTGACCGCAGGCAACAACCCCACACTGGATCTCCACTTTCTGCCTTGCCTGCTTTTGCCTCACTCTTTTCCCTTTCCACCCCCAAAATAAAGCAGAGAGCACTTCAAACATTGACAAGGACCCAAGTTTAACCCAAAGGCAATCTGTAAACTGCCACAGAGATGTTTGTGAGAAACACTTCACCCTAGTCCCAAAACACCACAAACAGTCTAATTTTTGTGCCACATAAATTACCCTAAACTCAAGTTCTACTCAACATTCATTAGATGGAAAGGAAAACATTAAATAAGCACAGGCCTACTCTGCAAAAGCTTCTATCCAGCTCTTACAAAGAGGTAGGCAGTCCTCTGAGCCAGGCAGCAAAACAACCAGTGCCCAGTCTGGGCAAAAGGATCTGGTGGCAATTAAAAAGAGCTGCCATAGCTACCCAAAGCAAACAACCCAACACACTCACCAGGTACCAGGCAACCATGAAGCAGGAACAGGCAAGGGAATTCTCAAATTATCCTCCCATGGCCTCCCCACACACCAAACCAGGTTCAAGACATAGTATTAGCAGCAATTAAGAGCCCAATTATGTTCTGGAGTTTGCAGCGGGGTGAACCTGAGTTATGGGCTAAGCCCCCGGGCTTCTGGCTGATCACACAGAGGCAGGTACAAAAAGAACACTGGAGCTGCACTGGAGGGTCCCAGTCCCTGTATCCAGTGGTTTTCCACCAGAGACCTTTTTGGCACTCCAAAAGCTGGCTGGAAATTGCAAGTGATGCCATGTTCTCTGCTTTTGACTTGAGCCTTAGGAACACTGGTTGACCTGGAGCTCTGGGGGTCACTGAGAGGTTTCATATATTATGCAGTATATATACTCTGTACGTGTTTATGTGTGTACACACACACACATATAATACATCAAGGCAACCTATTTCATTTGCATATTCTCTATATGATGTCTGATTTATACTTTTACATGAGTTGACAAGATATATCTGACTACGATCTATCAAGTCTGACTTCTCAATATTTATTAATTGATTTTTCAAGAGGGAACTATGTTATTTCAGGACCTAGGGTCTCTAGGTCCTGAAAAAAACAACTTCTAAAAAATGATAGAGATGTTTAAAACATGCAAGTAACTCCATTGGAAAATCTGAGGCCTTAGTAAGGGAAGGGACTGCAGAAAGACTCTCAAGGAATATTTCAAGGGACACTGGTCCTGTGGGATTTTCCTGACACAAGTCTAGCAGACGAGTAAGTTCAGGAATCATTACTGACCCTATCCTGCTTTTAGAAAATCAGAATACTTATCAGCAGACTAAAGGCTCTTAAAAGTCCTGCACTCTGGCGGTATGTAACTCAGTGCTTGCTGCATTTGTTTGGCTATGGATCTTGTGTGTCTTCCAACATCTCTCAATACCTTGAGGAAATGTGGCTCTAGGAGAGAATTTCAGTCTTCCAGCTAGGATTCAGTCCTGTCCAGAGAAACAGTGAACTTGGCAGGGGTGGGCAGTCTGACCACACGGTACAGCTCTAGGCTTTGGAACAGCATGCTACCAATTTTTTCTTTCCCTCTTCATTCCAATAGCCAGGAACTTTCCATTGAGATGTCAGTAAATCCACAGGCCCCAGAGTGCATGGCGATTGGGTGGGAAAATATGATGTCTTGTTCTCAACTCAGGAGAGCCTTGGCTAATTCAGATAAGTTCCTCTGGCAAGGACACTTAAATGGTTGAGAACGACCTAGAAGGCAATTGTCTGCTAAAATAAACTCTAAGATGATGCAGCTCTGGAAACCATATCAACATTTTGCAGTGAAGATTTGCTGACCCAAAACCAGCAGGCCTGGGATTTAGCCTGATTATGCTCCTGAGTAGGGCCTTTGGCAGAGTCCTTGACCAAGACTAAATCTCCAAAGCAGGGGAAGTCAGTGGTATTCTTCATTCCCCCTCAGAGGCTGAGAGCAGGCATGGACCTAAAAATGCGGACTCATCCCTTTTTCCTCTGCTCCTCCGCATTGCCAGCTCCCTGCCAAGGACAGGAACTGCTCTTCACCATCTTTGCATCACCAGGTTAAGCTTAGATAACACTGATTACTGTTACCATTAAACAGTCGTAATTGCTTTCCACTGTTTATTTGGTGCTCAGAACCCCATTGCCTTTGTAGTGTGAAGGTTCCAAGAGGACCATCTCTGGGGCATCTGATCTACCTTCACACAAAGTAAGAAGGCACATGGTTAATGTGTTAATGTGTTTACTACACCTTTTCCCCAGTTCACTCTCAAGCGTACTCCATAGAGTCTGTGCATAACATTCATGCAGGGGGATCATGGAGATGGGCACGTGTGTGTGTTTGCATGTGTGTACATGCGTACCGAGGAGGGGCAGATCACAAGTTGCCTGAAGGATTCACAGCAGATCAGCACAAAGCCGGCTCTGCTGGCCACACCATGCTACCTGCTTCTTCAAGCACAAACAGGAGGCCAACATTTCAAAATTGAGCTCCCAGGCTCTCCCCCGTGGCTGTCTCTGCTGTCTCAGGTCCCAGCTCACCAGGGCCCTCAAGAACATCTCTGTTTGTCTTGGACTCACTACACAGAAAACTCAAACACGCCAGGGCACAGGGAGAGGGAGCTGGCCTTGTTTACAGATGGTCTCTGTAACGGCTGTAATCTTTAATTCATAACAGTCCCGTGAACCAGGCGCACAGTGCACAAGGGCAGAAAGCTGCCCCCCTTTCCTAGGGTTTAAAACCAAGCGGCTGTGCAGGAAGTCGGTTTTCACAAGGCAAAGAAAGGAAAACATGCAAATTCACAAGCAATGGCTTCAAGTCCCCCGTTTCAAGTCTTAGGATGGCTGCCAAGAGGTCCAACTGTGACCCTGGCTCCCTGTGTGAGAGTTGGGTTGGGGGGGGGGCAGGGTTGTTTCTGTATCATCTAGGGGTGACCACAAAACCATCTTCTGTGCAGTTACCATAGAGAGCAACCATTTGATACATGAGCTGCAACTGACAGCTGGCTGTACTCTAGAAGGAAAGGAAGTCCCACCACCAGCATAGGCTCACATGGGGATCATAAGGAGGGGACCTGGAGTCACCAAACATCTCCTGAAGGGCTGTGAGAATTTATAAGACAGATGGGGAGCTCCTGGTGCTCAGAGGTCACCTAGTAGTTTCAAGATCATGGCAACAGTGAGGTTCCAGCCAGGTCTTCTCATCCCTGCACAGGAGCAGCAGCAGCCACAGCCAGAATGAGATATGCGGCGTGACCTCAGACAGAGCCACACCAGCACCCTGCCTCTGGAACCAGAGAGCTGGACTGTTGGGAGCCGTGGCACTGTCAAGTCATCAGACGCGGTGATTGCGAGGCCTGTGGGAAAGTACAAAAGCCTGAGCTAGATTACCCCTCTCATCGAGCCCGCCTGTGTGGCACCTGTTTCTTATCACCCCACTAAGTTCCCGCCTCACAGGGTAGTCTGCCTAGCTATTAATCCTATATATAGCCAGTGCCTCCACCCCCGAGAGAGAGAGAAGCACGAAAGGAGCCGCGGGGAGCGGACCGGTAGAGGCTTCGGGGGAGACTGAAGCACAAAAGGAGCCGCGGGGAGCGGACCGGTAGAGGCTTCGGGGCAGACTGAAGCACGGAAGGAGCCGCGGAGAGCGGACCGGTAGAGGCTTCGGGGCAGACTGTATAAGGAGAGAATAAAGAAAAGCCTGACCACCGCCAGACCTTGTCGTGTGTCTTTCCTGCCGGCCGGGAGCGACATCGACACTGGACCAGTTCCTTCTGCTAGCTTCATCCTGGTGAAGAGTTCAAGGGTCTTCCCCACTACCTGGCTATGAAGAACTTCTGTTTCGAAGCCAAGGTCATAAGCCACTGACCTAAGTCCAAGCAGATCTAAAATAGAATGCCCTTGGCAGCTGTGAGGAGGGCAGGCTGGAACCGCTCACAACTGCCCTTAAGCCCAAGAAATGGAAGCATATGGCCACTGCACACCAGTACATCACCACTCAGAAACAGGACATCTGATGACCCACAGTTCCTGTCACTGGGACCATGGAGTGTTATCACAACCCAGTCCTTTCAGTTCAATAATGCACAAGCAGAAGAAATGTGTGCAAGATCCACACAGTTCTCTGGGGACAGAGTCCTCGTCATCCAGCCCCCCAGGAGCTGTTGTTTTACCGAGGTTCCACCCTGTGGATAGGACTCCCTCTGGATATCAGCTCGGGCAGGCAACAGTTGGGCAACATAACCCTGTAGTACCTACCCAAGGATTGCTGTGATGATTAAATGAACTAGTATCGAAGTACATCGGCATAAAATACATGCTGCTTGTTTGTTTGTTTTTGTTTTAGGACAGGATATCACTGTGTAATACAGTTGTGCACCACTACACCTAGTCCAAAGGTAAATACTCTTCAAAGGCAAATATGCATTTGTGTTTATTGCTTATATCTCAATCCATTTTTGAGAGGTACCAGGAATTGAACTCAGGACCTCACGCTTGCCAGGCAGGTGCTATGCCACTGAGCTAAATCCTCAGCCCAATCCCACATATTACAAATAAGGCCTGTGGGACTCATCACCTAGATGACAAGAGGAGACACAGCAGGCCTCACAATCTGTCAGAGATGCTCTGAAAATCTACAAGGTGGTACTGTACGACAGTGGCCCAAGTCCACAGCAGACAGAGCCCTTGGCCAGGCCCTAAGCCCAGGTGATTTTGTTTCTCTGAACTGGACCTCCCTCCTATCCAAGATTAGACCCTGCATCCTGGAGTCTCTGAGGGCAGGTCCTCAACCTTTGCTGGCTTCACCTATAAAACATGGGAGGTTATGAGAAGCAGGCAGAGGAAGCACAAAAGCACTGTGCCAGCATCTGACACACTGAAGGCACTGAGTGGCTACTGCAATTGTAAAAAAGTGAATCGATAGCTCAGGGGTCTGTAGCCTGCCATAGGGACAGACCACTAGGGGACAGCAGAAGATCTGTCTTCTAGTCCTAGGCAAGTTGCTTCTCCTCTGTGAGGATAGACATGGGTCCCAGTTATTCCTGTTCTGGAAAAGATAGGTGCAGGTAAATGGCCCAGAGAGCCATGGTGAAGACAGCCTGGATCCCCAGTCCTATGCCCCAGACACCAGCTGGGTTTATCACCTACTGGGTACCTAGGGGAGCTGGCTGAACTGTGAACAAGGTCCTGGGGATGAAGGCCCTTCCTGTACTTTTAACTGGAGCCTGATGAACAAGGGCAAAGTCAGCTCTGCCCACTCCTGGGACAGACAGCTGGGGGACATTGGTCATGAAAGCAGCCAGCAGCTAACTCTTGTGTGTGATACTTTTTATTATGATTTAGCTCTAAAATGCATGCCCCCTCGAAGGCCTCATGTTCAGAAGTGGGAATTCTGGAAGGTGACTGGCTGATGGGGAGCACAATACTCGCCAGTGAATTAGTCCATTTATGAGTTCATAGATGATTGTTATTCACAGTGGGGCCTGGTCAGAAGAGGTGAGTCACCTGGAGTGGGATCTGGAAGGGGGCATTCTTGTTCCTGGTTCCTCTTTTCTCTCTCTCTGCTTCTTGCCCTCCATGATGTATGCACCTTTCTTCCACTATGCCTGTTCATCATGCTGTTTCTGCCTTCGAATCAGCTTACCATGGACTGAACCAACTGAAACTGTAAGCTAAAATAAATCTCTTCTCCTTTAAGTTATGGTGTCAAGTATTTTGTTCCAATAACAGGAAAGCTAATATACTCTTCCTTTTCACAGCTTCATTTCTAGAACCAGAAAGCAGCTGACAGAGGTGACAGACTGTGCCCTGTATTTTCTTCTCTCTTTCTGAAAGGCTCTAACTGCCCTTGCTGGGCAGCTGTTGTGCAGACTTTTAAAGATTTCTCACTGAACAAGGCTGCGAGGGAGAAGTCAGGTCAGGTCTGCTGAGCCTGTCTCTTGTGATTCCTGGACCTCTAAGTGTTGTCCCAAAGAGCCACAGCTTCTCCTCCCCACTTTCACTCTCAGAGCAGCTAAGCCCCACGCCAATGACTCTGCTGGTCTCCCAGCAGAGGTAGCAGCAAGCAGGAATGAGATCAGGGACTGATCAGGAATGAGATCAGAGACTCTCTAAGAAGATCCAGCAACAGCTCACAAAAACCTCTGCTCCTGGAAAAAGAATGGAGAGGGCCCCTGACCAGAGATGCCCAGCCCTAGCCTGGCACCTGATGCTACAGAAATGTCACAGGACAGATGGGACAAAGGGCACTACTTTCAGAAGACTCCAGGAGCCCACTAAAGCAGACCAGCCTGCTGTTTTCAGAAATAACAACTGGTTCTTAGAAGGTACCTTCCTCAAACATCACAGCTCATACCTGCTGACTTAGTTTGGCTAACAATCTTACTTATGCATTTCATGACTAGATTATCTGCCATGATTTCTGGATTTTTTCTAGATTTCCCACAGAAGCTTCCCGGAGGAACTTCTATCTTAAACATGCAGCTACATGCATGCCTATGAGTTCACACAGGCACACGCTCAACACCGCACTATGGACAGTTCCAGTCTTCACTGGAACAGTGTCGAGATCTACTTAAAGTCAAAGAGAGCACGAGTTTACATTACTGGCACTCCATCAGTCTCCATCGCTTCACTCCTTCTGGACGCTGACTTGCATCTTCCAGCTCCTCAGGCTGCATCTAGATCATCAACAAGGAAGGAAGCAGAGCCCAAGGGTGTAGAGCTACCCCGTCACCCACCACACCATCCAATCTGAGTCCATGATAGTCCATCAAATCCGCCCCTCTTCTTAACAATTTTGGAAAAGTGTAAAAAGCAAAAAAGATTCCACATACTATTTTCTGAGTCTACAGAAGACAGATAACAGCACACAAAAAGCTCTGTATGAATATTCACCAAACTATGCAAAGGGACCATCACCTTTTTCTAAAGGTTTATAATTTTTCCAAGGGAGACTGACTTCCTGCACTACTTTCGGCAACTTAATGTGTTTTCTCTTTTTCTAAGCTAGGGAATGCCATTTCTAGTTGACGCTTAGCTACAGAAGGAAATGAAATCAATCTTTTTTCTCCCTCTCTTTTTTTCGTTTTGAAGGATGAAAAGGAAACCTTGTTCTCCTCCAATGTTGAATTTGCTGAAGGTCAAATTTGAGTGCCTATAAACTTTGATAATGTCTCTATAATTTACTATTTTTTACAGGCTCTATAGCTTTTAATAGCAAAAGCGAGTAATTTTTCACTGCTCATTTGCAGCGCGCGAAGGGAAAAAAATCTGTCGTGTCTGACGAGCTAAAACACTTCATTTTCCTTTCTGGTTAGAACTAAAAATTACTTCCTGCAAATAGATGTATACGTCTATAATGGACACATAACGTATGTGCCTACAATTCAGTCTGGAGAAAAACAGAATGAAACCAAAACAGCTATCCAGAGCATAGTTAACACTACCAGCTAGCACAGCTACGCATTAGTAAATGTGCTTGTTTGAGAAACTTCTGGTCCACAAGGTCAAAAGCTGTTTGCATGACCAACCAATAAAAAAGTAAATCTTATCAATCCCAGGTCCCAGAGATAGGAAGAAAATTCCAAGGTAAGGAAGACTTGTTGCTCAAGCTCTGGACAGGGTGAAAAGGGGCTGGGGCTAGGTGAAGCCAAGACGAGGAATCGCACCTCCATCTCTCCGAAAAGGAGTCTCTCCGTGACCATGGCAGTCAGGTGTGCCCCTCCCCACATTCACACAGGATGCTGTGCTGGCATCCTTGCAGGGGCCCGGGCTGGGGAGGGGGACATGCGTGGAGTGGGATTCAGCACATCACCAAAAGGATGCCAGCCTGGAGCCAGATACCTGGGTTTTAATCCTAGATCTAAGGCAATGCTGATGCTCTCTAAGGATGATAATGAATATTAAACATTTACTGAACGCTAGTGGCATACACACCAGACATCTAGCTAAGCCATTGCACGCACAGTCTTGTGTGAGCCTCTCCCTCCAGGCCTCCTCGCACACTTAACTGTTAACCTCATTTCCAAATGAGGAAATTGAGGAAACAGAGGCCAGCCCTAGTCCCAAGCTGGGAGATGGCAAATGACACCACGGCAATGCCTTCATAACCCATCTAGGTTCCTCTTTTGCTTCTCACTTGGTTTTGAGGCTCCCAGAGCAAAGTCAACAAAAATCCAAACTGCAGATGTTAGCCTACAAACTCCCAGAGGTAAGACCCTGGGAGAAGCACACTTGTGTCCCTTAGAAGAACAAGCAGAGCCACTTTCCAGTTGGGTCCTGGACCGCAGGACTTGCACATGTTCCCTGTCACCCTGGCTTCAAGAAACGAAGAGCCGGAACGCAGTGTTTGCTATTCACAGCTCTGGCGGTGCGAATCTATGCTTCCCACAGTCCTATGGTTCTATGGGAACAACGGAAAGAAGCGCACTCTGCACACCTTCAGGCAGGCTCCCTGCCAAAGCCTACCAAACTCCAGCTCCCTGTTCATTTTGCCTCATGGATGATTTTTAAAGCTTTTTAATTGTCCTTAATAAATTATCTACATGTGTGTGATTGTTACAATAGTTTCATTAATTTTTCTCTATGCATCTAAGCTGTTTATCACAGAAATGTTAATGGAAAAGAAAAACATGTCAGGCAGGCTCTTTCTCACATACCCCGGGGCTGGGGCAAATTAATGCATTTGGGATTACTTTCCCACACCACAATTAGGGATGTCTTTATTTCATCCTAGCAAATCGCCTTTCAGCAAGGCCACGAGAGTGGGATGGTCTGAGTGCCCTGGCACTGCCCGCGGAGGAAGCAGCCTACACAAGCTCACTGCCTGGTGTGCAGTAACTTTACCTCCATTCCCCTTCAGCTGAAATCTAAACTGAGCCCTCAGCACTCACTACAAGCCCCAGCCCCACCCGCACCAGGAGGGGCACATCGGTGATATTTCAGATGACAGCTTCAAGCAGAAGCAGTTGCAGGGGATGGGGAGCAGGACAAGGGCCAAGGCTCAGCACAGGGACTGGGACCGCAGACACTGGGCAATGCCATCATGGAGAACTGCTGGTCCCACCCTACAGCCCCTTCTCGGAGAAGGGAGAGGAGCTGCTGGACACTGGCCTCTCAACCTAGGGGTCCAGCTATGTGTCACATATTTACCTGACCAGGAGCTTGACAAGGCAGCTGGATCAGCCAGGCCTTACTGGTGGGCCAGCCAGGAGCCAGATTGGGATACACAGGGATCTAGCCCTACACAACTGGTCCACTTAACCCTCAGACGACACTTCCTTCCGGAGCAGGGTGATTTAAAATTCAAAATTAAACGAGGATCCACAACTTGGCTTCAGAGTTGAAGTTTCAGCCTCTAGTGTGTGTGGATGGAGCATGCGGATGTTTGGGTTCTGTTTTATGTGGCAACCTGATAGCAGAGCTACATAATAAAGCGCAAGGCTTCAGGGCAACCCCAGCCTGACCGGGCCCTTCTGCCCAAGTGTCCACTCCTCGCCACACTAGATTACATGCTGCTCCCTTAGCACACTGAGCCTCTGGCCCATGCGGTTCCTTCTGCCAGGAAGTTCGTACCACTCCCATCTGCTTCTTCAGACACCCATACGCCCTTCAGAGCCACATTGCTATGCCAGTGGAACCAGAGACATCAGTGTCCCTACAGCACATGATCCAAGTCCTTTACAGTCTTTTTTTCTCCAATTGATGTCCCTTGGGCTGTCAATACTGCAGGGCCACCACTGGGCCTAAAAGCTCGCCTCCAGAGAAAAGCCCCGTGCTGCGTGCTTGGCACCTCTGACATTGAGACCATCTGGAAGAGTCCCCCAGGGGATCACTGGAGCCATGACAGAATATCCCTTCATCCCCTAGAAAAGCCCACATGACCTGGCCCCACCACCTCTCCCACTGTGCTCTGTCACCTGCTCCCTGCTGTGCTCTGGGTCTACCTCCTTTCCTTCTGTTCCCTGAACTCACAAAGCTTATTCTTGTCTTTAAGGCCACAAGAGCCATGCCACGGGCCTAGAAACTCCTGTCCTTGAGTGGTCACATGCCCGCTCTGCCTAGTTTAACACCTTCACTCCTAATCCCACCCCATTCCTCTTGGTTCCATTTCTTTCCTCTTTGCCTTCATTCACTAGAGTCTCACTCACATGACATTTAACAGTGATTCCTTCGCTCACAGCGCTACTGTTTCATCCCCGGTCCCAGAGTAAGGACTCGTCACCATCAGTCTCATGAATGGATGAGACTCACTTGGTCAAAGGACAAGGTGGGGGGCCTGCTGGAGAAAAGCTCACATCCTGCTGAGGGGCCTGGCTCTGCTGCTGCAGGAAGCTGAGAAGCACTTCAGGACAAGGAACACTTTGGAACTGGGGGACACACTTCCGGGGAGCACTAGTAAATGTGCATTGTGAGATAACAAAAACTAGTTGCATGTTAATATATGCTGCCTCTTCCTTAAACAGCTTATGATCACTGTAATTTTCTTCACTGAAACACTGTCTTACAGAACCAACTCCTCTAATTACAGCCGTTTGTATGCATTATAATCTTTACACAATTAAAGCTACTAAAAAGAATAAATGGTTAAATGCCCCCTTGCCCTGTCGCAAACCACCCCTCCCCTAAACACCCAAGCACAAACAAAACAACAATCAACAGAACAACAACCACAAGCACACCCAAAGGTGCTGAGAGCAGGGGTTGGACTGTAAACAGATGGAAATCCTAGGAAATTGAAATTCAAACTGACACAGAACTTTGTCACTACAGGGGGCAAAGTCAACTTTCAACTTCAAACCCTGGCTTCTGACAGCTCAGCATCTGCCTTCGCTATCACATAAAAGGCCTGCATGCACTGTACAAAATATCTCATTTCAGGAGCAAATATCTTCCTCACACAATTCATCCCGAGACACAAACACACAGTTTGGTGACCCGAAGGAGGCTTTTCTAGGATCATCTCTGAAACATTTCACAAAGGCATTCCTAGCCCTCGGGTGTTTAGCAGGAAGTCTGTGGTACCTCCTCTGGAGCCAGGCAGGTTTAGCTAGAAAATCTCTCTTTGGAACTCGGGGCATCCTGGGGAAAACACTCATCATGGAATCAAGATGAAAAGGACCAGGCATCAGCTACTGCACTGAGCCAACACCTCCACTTATTTGTAGGAGGTGACCCCTAGACATCCTCACAAGGACTCCCCACCCTGTGAGGGTCAGGAGCTGAGATGGGTCCTCCTGATTAAGTCCTGTGGAAGGACCTGAGCACAAAACCCTATTATCTGAACCCTGAAGAGCTAGTGCTTGGAAAGGACAGCAGCAGCCACCAAGGGGACTGACCCCTGCTAGGCTTCCTACCACTTTAGGGGCCTCGTTTCTGCCTGGACGGCACTCAATGCCTGTCTGTCCAGAGGTGGCATGCGGAGGGAAGCCAGGCCACAAGGCCTTCAGGAAATCAGAATCAAGATTCCTGCTCTTCCAGGGACAAAGTTCCCAGTCGCAGCAGCAGGGGACCTAGCAACAAGATCTAGGCCATCTCATGGCTTTGCAGCAAATGTCACTTGGGGAGGTGTACCTCTCCAGGTGAGTCCTTGTGTTCTTGTCTGTCACCTGGAGAGGATAAAGAATCTGCCTCCTAAAGTTACCGGATAGACTCTGCAGACCCTTCGTGGTCAGCAGCTGTGGCTGTCAGGCAAAGGCCACTTGTCTCTGGAGGGTCATCTGGGCCATGGTAAATGCTTAGCCCTCAAAGACCCCTCGATTTCTTCTCAGACCTGAAAGCAGAATCCTTGGGAAAGGAGGAAGAGATGGGGATCAGCAAGCACTGAGGCTCTCACTCCTCTCCTGGCTCTGCCCTCTGCTCATCCTACCCAGGCTAAGTGAACATCACTGGGGTAACCAGTTACAAACACCACTGGATTTATGGGGGAAAGGGGTGTCCACCCAGTTTTTCAAGATGAAGGAAGCAAAGTGGCTCTGGCTGAGGTTCACTATACAAGGCATGTTACCTGGGCTCTCATCCTATCCTCGCAGCAAACCACAGGACAGGGACACTGCTTCTGCCATTTACTTCTAAAGGAGGTCACACAGTTTGCTCAAGGACACATAACCAGGGAGTGACAGAGTCCAGCCTCAGGCCCTAGCTAGACTGGCCCCATAGCAAGCCTCCCTCACCAGGTAGAACAGCCTGGTCCAGAAGTTCCTATCTTGTTCTTTGACCTCAGGTACCCATGATGGGCAGCAAGTTCTTATGCAGAATGGAGCTTGGCTCTTCTAACTGTCCTGTGGCTCCAGAGTTGCTAACAGTTAGTGCTTTCTGCCTCCCACTGTAGCTCAGCTCACTCACCTTCCCCGGGCCCCTGTCGGGTGGCTGGGGCAGGAGTGGCAGCTGAGGAGAGGCAGTTTCTGCCAGAGCCATGTGTGTCACTGCAGCTGCCAGGAAGCCTCATTAGTCAGCACCAACAGCTGCTGCCACAGGACACAACACGTGGCACCAGCCGAGATGGAGAGGTGGCAAGGCCCTGTAGAACCCCCAGGGTGGTAAAGGGTGAGAGGCGCCAGGAAGAACAGGGAGAAGTCAGGAAGAAAGGGCTCAAATGTGTGCCCACACCTCACCGTGGCCAAAGCCACAGGCCCTTCACAGCCCAGCATAAGCCCCAGCCTCAAGCTTGGGGTACTTTTCCCACTGGGGAGGGCACTTAGCTGCCATCAGGCAAGGCCCGAGGCTTCCTCAGCCAGGCCTACGAGAGGTGCCAAGCTATCCCGAAAGCTCCGAAGCTTGGAGCCCTCAGGTTCCCCATTTCCCAAGAGCTGGGGAAAGCTCTCTGAGGATGGTTTAAGAAAGAATGAGTCTCCCTCATTACCACCTTTCCTCACTCCCAAGTTTTGATGAGGGTGATTTCTATAAGCATTCCCTCTCCTTCCTCAGGGCATCAAATTTCCAGCGCTCTCTGACAGACATATCCCAGACCCTCCTGAATGCCAGCAGGAGATGCCATTCTAGACATCTGCCAGGAAGAAAGGAAGGGAAATACAGCCTGGGCCAGTATCTTCCCTCCCCCACCCTGCTGCACTCAAGACCTTCCCAGGGTCGCTCTTATGTTCACCCCATCTCCTCTGGGGCAACAGAACCTAGAGTTATATGGGCTGTTTCCCATAAGAAACTCACTGGAAACCAGCTGAACAAAACATCATTTCTCCCAGAGGGAAGGGGAGGAGAGATGGCTGACTAGTTAGGACGCAGAAAATTCTGGAAGTCAGTGAACCAATCTCACGCTGTTTAAGGAAACCCTAAGTTAGAGCAACTCTACATTAGGGGACAGAGTTATTCATGCTTGAAAACTAAGATGGGAGATGTCCCTTGAAGTTTTATCAGAATTTCCTATGCTGATACACAAGGCCACAACTCAACATGGCGCCCAGTTTAACCTTCTGAGGACTTCAAGGGAGAGGGTACTCGGGGAGCGGAGGGGATGCCTCACCTGGATCTTGCCTCCCTGGCACCCTCTCCTGAAGCTACCACAGTGAAATAATGAAAGAAGCCCCTGAGGGAGCCACCTTTACCTAAACCAGTCAATACTGCGGCTGGGTAACAGGTTAAGTATGCTTCACACCGGATAAGTCAACACAATGCCCCTCAGAAGAGGAGGAAGAAAGGAAGAATAGAATAAGCCAAAGAGAAAAAAGGAAAAGAAAGCAACCGCAATGGATGCACCTCCTGTACTGGCTGCATGGAGGACGTGGGTCTCCCAGGGTTCCCTTTCCTGAAGCAGCTCCCAGGAATTCATAAACTTACAGAACTGAGGGGCGTTGAGGTTGAGATTCAAGCCCAGTCCTGTGGGACTGCAGGTCTGTCTCTGCACTGATGATACCTGCTGACTTCTCTACAAGATCAACAGCCTGCCAGTTAAACCAAGCCATCCTAGCTCAGGCTGCAGGGCAGGGAGGACCCGAGCAGCAGTGCATGGTACAGGAACCTTCCGGAGGAGGCTGTCAGACACCTTGCACGTTTGACCCCAGCACAGCCAAGGAGGGAAGTGGTCAGTCCTTGCCCTGCTTTCTAGTTGGGAACCTCAGGGTTGGAAACTAGCACCAAATGGATTAAGAGTCAGTTGTGGCCCTTGGACAGCATACAGCCCTCTCCCTGCTCAGCCATCTTGTCCCTGTGAGTCACCAACCCAGGCAAGGATGTAGGTGTTTCTGCAAAGCCATCCTCATCAATGGAAATGAAGAATAAAAGCTCAACCTCACATCCATGGGTTACCAGCATCACTGCCTCCTACAAAAGGGCCCCACTGCTGAAAACAGGGGCCTCCAGGACAGCCAGGTATCCACAGCCCCAAGGGACAGCAGGGGGCAGTGTTGACAGGAATAAGCTAGCCAGAGCAGCAGTTCTTGCCCACCAGAAATGGTCCAAGATCCAAGGAGAGCTCTGAGTCCTATGCCTTACTGGGCTTTGGCTTCCAAAGCAGTAAAACGAGATAGTCCAGGTCCACTCTCAGACAGCTCTATAGACATCAAAGAGACCTATTCTCCAGGTACAAATGAAGGCAGCTGTGGCCTCTTAGGGGACAAGATGACTAGGACAAAGTCTGCACATTCTTCTCCTCATACCTGACCCTCGGACAGTACACCCACACCAACAGTACAAGACACACTACCAACCAAACACACCCTGGGCCTCTGTACACAGAATGTGTGTGCCCGCCCACAGCCATTCACTCACGGCCCAGGGCAGCCTGCCAAATTATAAAGAGCCCTGCTCATTTTTAAGATGATTAGCTCTTCGGCAAAGCTCCCGAGCCTCCGGCAGTGGTATGAGTCCTGCCTCCTCCATCCTAACCCTAGACGCTCAATGGAGAACCCCTCACTGACTCAGCCAGGCTAAGGGCAGGCATACACATGTAGACCAAAACCCAGGATGTCTGTAGGACTAATCGATCAGATTGCTGCTAAGCCCACAGATACAAGGGCCAAAGGGGTCTCCGAGTCACAGGATGACAAACACAAAGCTCTTCAGGAAGGAGTGAGGGGCACAGCTCATATGTCCCCGGTAACAGAGGTCTCCCTGTTAACTTCTCTGCCCTTGTTAGTAGGGAACAGGGCATCACTACGTCTTCAGCCCATTTCAGAATGAACCCCCACCCAGTCCATTCACAGTTCAAGCTACTCTACATGGCTTCTAGGACAAGAACATCCAAGGTGACCTAGAGTGAAATGACCACCTGCTTCTGGGGAGCCCAAACAGAGCAGACAGCTCACCCTGTCCACCCACAAGCTGTAGGCAAGGAGGCCCTGATTGCCTTGAATCTCAGCCAGAGGACCCCCACCTCCTCCTCACCCCCAAAATCACAGACACACATTTGTCACGTAGTTCTGACAGCCGCAGTTATCTGCAGTTATCTTCATTCAGCCACGCTTATGACACCAATAATATATGACTGTCATGATGTGCCGGGGGGCTCTTCAACACTGGGTTAAAAACTTCCAATTCTTCATCAGTTCTACCCCTCTCTGGCCTTACACACTAACCTAAGACTTCAGGCCATCCCAGAAAAATGCTGAATGTATTTGCTCACTGGTAAGAAATACACAAGTGACCCTTAGGAAATGGCCCCAAGTCTGAAGTCCCTTGGGCAGTGAGCTAGCTCCTCCAGGCCAATCCCTCTTGCAGTTGTGGCACAGGACCTGCAATACCCACCCTCGAATGCTGAATGAAAGTCACCTTTAGATAGGAGTCTGTGGCACTGGCAAAGAAAGCGTGGATGGTCCACCCCTTTCCCCCAAAAAACATCCAGTCTCTATCCCCAACCAAGAAGGTTTTTTTCTGCAGGATCCCCTGGGACCTTTGTGTCACGCAAGACTACAATTTGATTAGCAAATGCCACAATGCAGGAGGAAACGCAGGTCCCCATCCAGATTTATAAACCCTTGTCAGCCTCCAACCCTGTAAAGTTTCCCAGTTTGATCAGAGCCACCAAACACTGCCTGCAGCTGAGACTCCAAGCACCACCCAATCAATGGGACAGAGAACTGCACCTCAGTTCAAGTCTCACAAAGGTGACACCTAACCAGGTGTCTGCTCCTTCAAGTCTCAAAGGAATCAAATGTACAGATGCACAATGCAGTTCCTTTTAACAGGGAAGCTAAACTCTCAGGTCCAGGCACCAGATCCAACATGGATGTCCATGGCATCTTCCCACTTTTCTGATTAAACCCTCACTTCAGCCCGCTTCCTTCTTTTTCACCCCTAAAATACTATATTTTAAAATATTCCTTAGAGGGAGTGTTTTGCTTCCTTAACCGAACAGTGGCTTACAAAACAGTCCTGACCTTCCTGTCCCTCCCCCTCCTTGTCACCGAGCAACAGAAATTAAATTGATTCTCACTATCAGTGCTCTGCATCTCACTGATTATGCCCAGCCACCAGGAAAGTCAGCTCTCTGCTCCATCCCATGCACAGAAACCCTGTTGCTAAATCCAAGCCCACAGCTCAGGAAGGAGGGGACAGCGGAAGAGGGGGTACCCAAAGAGCCCAGGTAACAATTTATGGCCTCCTTGTCACCGTGGTCTTATCTCTGTGGCCAGCTCCTTCTGAGAAATGGTACCCGTTACTGAACCCTGGGAGGGTTGCCCTGGGACCCAGCCGTTTGGGACAGCTGGCCCAGCGGGGAAGGGAAAGACTGCAGAAGAGCCACCCTGCCTCGCCACGTCCGCCTCTCCTCAGCACACCACTGCACAGGTGCCCAGAGCCAGGCAAACCACCTGTCTCAACCCACTTCAGCCACAGAAAACGTGGGGAGGTACAGGCTGCAGCAAAGAGTGAACACCCTGTTACAACGATGTCCTCTCTCACGGAACACACTGTGCTTTCCCTTCAAAGCACTCATCTACACTATTACACATGTGCATGGGTTTGTGTGTCTGTCTAATGTCAGTCTCCTCCATATCTTAGGCCCAAGGGGGCCCATACCATGGCTGTATTCTTTTCCACAGTACTGAGCACTCTGAACTCTTACTGATTAATCAGAAGAAAGAACCACTCTAATGCGGCTACTAGGAACAGGATACTAACTGATTTTTTGGTTAGGCCTCTTTGGGAATCATTTGATCCACACTGCAATGGAGAGAACACAATACAAAAACTTGCAATGTTCTGTTTTTCTGTTCCTCATACCTTTCCCTTCTTTTCTTTTTCCTTTCCCTTATTTTCATTTGGGCAACAAGCTAGAAAAATGTATCCCTACTCCATACAAAAGAAAAGACAGAGCCAAAGAAGAAAGTTTCAGGCAAAGTCTTGCCGAGTGAACCACGAATCCTCCACCAGGCCACCCACTGAAAACATTCTGCCCTCCTCTCTCCAGGCTTTGGCTCACGTCTCCAGATTCACTCCCAGTCCACTCTACTGCTGTGCCATGGGCCCAGGAGCAGCAGGCTCACTGTCCAGCCCCTCCCTGAGCTGGAATTCAAGTTCAATCTGACCCAGGTTCCTTTCCTGGCATCAAACAGGTCTGGTTTATGGAGTCAGATGACCTGGGAGCAAATGCCAAGTGACTTCATTTATCGCCACCTCATTTTGTTCCAAAAGGAATTGGAGTTGTCATACAGAAATACCTACAACATGATAAAAGAAAGAGTTGAAGAAATGAGTGGGAAATACCATGAATTAGGTTACCACCCAAAAGTAGGCATCACAATTGATAAAAGCATTCTTAAGCAATCCTAAACTCCATCCCCATCGGACAGACGGGAAGAATTTCTGTGGACATTCGTTAGACAATGTGCCTGCCACACAAATGCCTCAGTTCAACCTCGGGGATTCATCAACCACACACACGCCAGGCTCTGGGCTGTATGTCTCCAAATGTCCTTGAGTCCCATGTCAAACATCTCTTGGCTGGGGAGAGGCAAGTTCCTGGAGTCCACCCATGACTAGGGGCAGGAAGGGTGGGGGAAATGTTTTTTGCTAGAGCTTGAGCACTCTCAGAGTTCATCTCTCCCTGCACAACAACCCCATCTGACCTTGGGCAGGACTAGATGCTTTCCTTGTCCTTCCCATTCTAAAACTTTTATGATTTTACGATTCACTACTGTCACAGTCAGAGGAGTGGTTTTACTGGAATGTTTATGGCAATCAGTCATCTTCCAGTTCCAAGCAGGACTCAACTTACCACTTTCGCACACTTTCTTTGCCCTGCCTCAACCCCGTCAGGATGGGCTGCCCAGCCCCCAGGAAACCTTGCCCCCAACTCTTCACTCTCTCAGCTTCCATTCCCATGCCTGCCAACGCCTATCTTCACAGAGTCTGGCCCTAACACAAACTCTCTCTTTTCATCCACCCAGCTGGGTGTCAGGGTCTGGTTTTGTTTTTTCTACAACTTCTCAGAGAACTCAATACCCAGAACACAAGTATAACAGTTTTCCCCAGAAATGTATGAACATTCTTTCTTCCTCTATTATCTGCACCCAATTCTTTTTGTTTTTTTCTATCAGTACTGGGGATTGAACTCACAACTGCCTGCTTGTAAGGCAGGCGCTTATGCCGCTGAGCTAAATTCCCAGCCCATCTGCCCCCAATTCTAACGCACCATGTCCTCCACTCATCCTGTCTTGAGTTCTTTCATTAAACTGGCACTGTATCCCATAAAGATTTACTTCATTGTTTTTCTGTCTTTCAGATCAGCATATAGAGACTCACTGAAGTCAAGTCACTTGTCCAGCCCCCCCCCCCATTCCAAGTTTATCTCACTGCAAAGCTTTTAACCACTGCACCCTATGGCGACACCAGCTTCCACAGTCCATTAGGAACCATGCCTGTTTGAACTGCTTTGTTATAAGATATGAGTTTTTAAGAATGTGTTCATTCCTTGAGCTAAACTGGTAGCTCCGCAGTGCAGGGGAGAAGCTGTGGGCCTCATAGTTCAGCAGACGTGGCTCTGATCCATTCTCAAGGCCGGATGGCATCACACAGCCACAGTCTCCCATGGGGACAAGGACAGTCAATAGCCCGAGTCTCTTCAGGCCACAAATTAGTCATCAAATTCCTGGACAGTCAAAGACCTTTCCACCAGGAAGGAACTCGGCTCCTACCTCTCAGAGAGTTCCACGTGAAGTGAATCCATCACCTGGTCCCAGGTGAAAAGCCATTACCAAGGACCTCAGGATCTTCCAAAAGAGCCTCATGTGAAACAGTTGCCCTGGGTTCTGCCTGGCTGGGAGGCCCCAAGAATGTACAGAAATGATTAGTTAAGTGGTGAGTGAACACTACTGACTTTAAGTGTCAGAGGAGCTGGGGGAGGAGGACAGTAGATTAGAGATGTCTGGCGCAAGGACTCAGCAGGGGACATCAAGACCAAATCACCTCTGGCCGTGGATCCCCCTTATCCAGTTCACAGAACAGATCAAGTGACCTCTAAAAACAATGATCTTGTCCATGGTCTGCTTAAACCCACTCGTAGGCTTCCTGTGGCACTTAGAACAAAATTCAAACTTCCGCTTCTCTCACAAGACACACAACCAGTCTGGATCTCTGCTCTTCCCAGTGACATCACACCTCTCTTGTAGGTCCTTAAATCATCAAATTCCACCCTGCCACAGACCCTTTACACTGCTACTCCCTCTAACCCCTCTTGACCACCCCATAGGAATGTACAGGAGACATACACTATGATTCTATTTACATGTGGAATGAAAAAAAAGGAAAACTCAGAGAAATATAGAGTAGAATCATAGCTGGTTATGGTAGTGCACCTGTACTTCAGAGGCTGAGGCAGGAGGATTGCTGCAAGTTCAAGGCCAGCCTGGATTAGGGTGAGATCCTAGCTCAACACTGAAAAACAAAGAGAAGGAAAGAAAGTAGAATCACGGTTTCCAGAGCCAACGCTAACGGTTGATGTTGGGGAAGGGAGAGACGTGGGTCAAAGAGCATAAAGTTCAAGTTAGACAGGAAGAGTAAGTTCTTACCACAGATCACGGTAACCTCACTGAATCACACCGAACTGTCTATTCCAACATTGCTGAAGGAGAAGATTTTTAAGGTTCTCACTGCAAAGAGAAGTACGTGAAGTGATGGGTACGTTAGCCTGACTTGCTCCACGCGTACCTGTGAGACATTGTCACTGCGTCCCACAAACAGATAGATACAATTATTTGTCAATTATAAATACATTTTAAAAATTTAAACATCATGTCACTGCCACCCTGATTTTTTTAATTCAAAAAACTTATATCACTATAAAAAGGAAGAGAAGGAGAGGAAAAGGAAGGATACCCAGAGATACGGTAGTAGAAGCCAAGGCTGAGCCCTACAGAATGCAACACACAACAAGTGCTTCTTTGGGGTTAGCTGGCTCTGAAGGATGCTGGAAAATCAACACTCGGAGAGGGCCTAGGTTGGCGAGATCGATGAGGAAAGGCAGGGTAGGAAGACTTATACACAGAAGAGGTTTCTGGACTTAGAATTCGGGGACCTGGGTTTGAAACACAGTTTTCCCACTCCAATGGTTTCCCAGTGCTGCTGTAACACAGGCCAGTAATCCCAGGAGCCTATGCCTCACTCCTGGCTACTCTGAAACTGCGATGTGGGCTGGGTTGGTTCATTCAGCAATTTTTAGGGAAAAGCTGTTCCCTACCTCTCTGCTGCCTTCTGGTGACTGCTAGCACTTCTGGCTGTCACCTGTCTTATGGAGCATCATCCCTGTCCATCTCTGACTCAACCTTTCCCCTGCCCTGTATGTTCTCAAGGAGCAAATTTCCGTCTCTCATAAACCTACCAACCACTATGCAGGGCCTGGCCTAATCCAAGACAACCTTACATTAACTAATTATGTCTGCAAAGAATGGGTTTCCAAATAAAGTCATGTTCTGAAGTTCCAGGTGGACATGAATGGGGGGAGTCCCCCATCTAACCCATAGCACCCACCAGCAATGAGTAATCTCAGCAACGTTCCCTGCATGGTGTGCATCCCTTTTCAAAGCATTATTTCATCACAGAGCTCAAATTTTTTCCCTCAAAAGAGGTGGCAAAAATAAAATAAAATTTAAAAAATATAAAGAGGTGGCAAGATTCATCATGGTGTCCACCACATCAGAAGGGGCCGTCAACATGCCCAGAGCTTAAGGGATTGTAGATTTTCTGTGGCAGGAAGCGGACAGCCACTCCAAGTTGGGCAGCATAGTCCTGTCCAGAGTAAGCAGCTGAGTTCGAGGCAGGTGTGTCAGATGGAGAGTGCAGAGGGTGCACAACGATGAGTGGGAGAAAGAGTGGGAGAAAGCATGACGGGGGGTCATCTTGGGGGGCAGTGATGGCTCAGGCTGGCTTGGGTTGGGGACACCAAGCAGGAGAGAGACAACAGGCAAACACAGGAGGTGCTTAGCAGATAACACCAGGCTCCAGGAGTGAGTCAGGAAAAGCCATCAGTAATGCCACTGCTCTCCCAGACACAAATGCAATGGGACAGCAGACTGGAGTTAGTGACATCACTGTGCAGAGGGTGGGGAGAAGAGACCCAGGGACACTCACCAGGCAGGGGAGTGGGGGTCAGGCCTGGCTGCAGAGGCAAAGTGGAGGAAGAGCGATAGAGGCCAAGGTCACGAGCACAACGGGGTTCTAAAGAGGAGCATTTCTCATGGGGCCAGGGTAAGGGCAGGGCCCAAGGATAGTCTGATGACTCCAGAGAGGAGCAGCCCCTCACAATGCCTGGGGATGACTGTTTCCTAACCCTTCTCCAATGTGGGACCTGAGACTCCCACAGGGTGCAGTGCCTCCGTGCCCAGGCAAGGCACTGTTGGGGTCTCAGCCTCAGTCTGACCTTGAGCAACCCTTGGGGATCCTCCAGGCCTCACAAACCTTCCACATCATGGGTAAGGAAAGCAAGACCGCGTCTGAGGCTGAAATTCTGTGATTTACAACCACCAGAGCCATATTAAGTGCCTAGTAATTCAATAATTCAATTAAGAAAGCTCAATTTTTTAAGGCTTAATATTTAATGGAAGAGTTATGAAGTGCAACACAACTCACTGTGATTAATAGTTAAAATTACAGGCTGGGCACATTGAAGGAGAAAGGCACGGATCCTGGCAACGCTTCCTGCTGCAAGGGGACACAGTGAGCCACATCTGTAGGCTAGGGCTGCTCCAGGGAAGACTCACATGGACAGAGTTATCTGGCAGATTTACCAGGTGAGCGGGATACCACCTGCTGGGGAGCACTGAGCAGGATCTCTCGTGACCTACACAACGAATCAGATAAATCAGCGACAGAGCTGGAATGGGGCTCACTTTGACCAGTGGTCCCATCCTTCTTCCTCCCCGACCAGCTCCTGTAGAAGGACGAAGGTCAGAGAAGGAAGAAGGGATGACTGGGGCCTGACAAGGGATGGCAGGGACCTGCTGGCATCTCAGTCTTCCCATGTCAGGCAGACTTGAACTTGGAGACCCGGGTGCCTCTGACCCCTCAGCAACCCAGAAGCATGGTTTTTGCAAGGACGGGCCACCTTGCCACACAAGGTTGTGCCAGGCCTCCTGCCCCGTGACTACCTCTACCTGTAAGCTCAAGAAAAGATGAGTGCAGGTACTCAAGAGTTAACTCCATCTTTGACCCACTGAATACATGACATACACACCTAGGCCAGCCAAAAGTGACTGGTTGGGATTGATCTTCCCCCAGCTGCGTGGTGACACTTCTGCTGGGTGTTCCAACTTACTACCCTCCAGTTAGGCAAAATGGAAAGGAGCAACTGTGAGTTACCACTTGATATTGAATGAGTTTCAGCAACCATGCCCATTTAAATCTAATAGTGGGTAGTCCAGGAACTGGCCCAACTCTGTCCCATACAGTTGGACAGCTTGCTGTACTTGGCCTAGACTAATAAGATACTGTAAGAAGAGTGTCATGGTCTCTGGGTCTACTGTCTACATGTCATAGCCATAAAACTGGCTTCCCATGTAATAGCCCAAAGGGCCCCTCGTGAGGGTTTTTAGCAGTATTCAGTCAGACAGGTAGAAAAGAAAAGAAAAGAAAAGAAAAGAAAAGAAAAGAAAAGAAAAGAAAAGAAAAGAAAAGAAAAGAAAAGAATCTAATAGTGGAACAAAAGGGCATGGTCTCCAGTTAAAGGCTTTGCAAAGGCTGAGCAAATGGGGCTCCTGTTTGTTTGTGGCTCTTGGCAGCCCCTTCTCCATGCTCTAAAATCAGGATCTGGGCCAAATTCAAGAGGAAGAGGGGGCAGGACCTCCAAACAACAAAGGCTCCTTTGCCTCTGTGTACTCTGATCCTCTGCCCAACCACCACCATAGCCTTGCCCCACTTCCTCCGCCTCCCCAGCAGAGCACAGTGCAGCTACTCTTGGGTAAACAGGAGCTAAGTCTAGGGACAAGGGGTAGGTGGATGTTCTGAGACCTGTGGCTTTGAGAAGCAGACAGACAGATGGAATCTGTTCAGTGCAGCTCTGGAGTGTCCTACGTGGGAAGATAAAGAGGCAAAGAGCAGGAAGCAGGAAAATGAATGAAGGAAAGTCATCACTTTTAGGGATGTATGGATCAGGCAAAGACTCTCCATGAGCGAATCAGAGAGGCAGCTGTGCTGAGTCACTAGCATACCTGGGACCCCACTATCATGGAGAGTAGGATGGAGGGTAGAAACCACCATGCCTGCCCACAAGTAACATGGCCACAGAGACAGCATGACACTCATCACTGACACTAGAGAACCACAGGAGGAAAGAAAAAGATGAGCTTGGGTTTGGCAGAAAAGATATTTAAAAGCAGTACTAATTAATTATAATCACTGATGTGAACTGTTTGCCATTCGTGCCTAATTACTGTGTAGCAAAATGATGGTGTTTACCATTAAAATGCATCACGGTAACACTGGGGTGGGCTTTCTTTGGTGGCAACAGAATTTCCAATGAATGGGCAATGTGTAGAAACTTTCTGTGGTCATCTGCTAACAACCTCAAGGCTCTGGAGGGAGTCCCATTCTTATAATTAATGAGACACGTATGCTCTAAATAAGCATCATATTGAGCATGCACTGTGTGTGAGGTCTTTTGCTAAGAGTTTACATGCATCCATCTCCTTTAAGACTCACATTCCTTACAAAATACAATCTACTACATCACCATTTCACAGATAGATTAATTTGCCCAAGGTCACACAGTTGGGAAGTGAACTGCCCCCAAACTGGCAGCCAGGGTTTTCTGCCTCCTGCATCCACGTTCATCACCAATGTGACAACTGCAGGGCAAATGTGCAGAAAATAAGCCTGCAAGAGCACATACCAAAATGCTAATTGGGGCTGGCTCTCCGCGAGACTAAATTCTTCGTTCAGCTCAGCTATTTCTAAGGAATTTTGTACAAGCAATCTATATGGATGTAAATTGCCTGGGGGGTCTGTTGTTTTCACTTGTTTGTTTGTTTGTTTTTAATAAGGACAACAGATCCACTAGTTACGACTCCCCCCAATCAGAGGCCAAATCAGTAGCAGGGAGGTGGGAGTGCAGGCTCGCAGGGCATGAAAAGCCCTAGCCGGCCATCTAGGCCAACCTTCAGCGTACTGTGGATGTCCTTGCTATCCGGTCCCTAACAGATGGTCCCTCACTTCATCACAGCCTCCCCAGATGTCGGGTGAGTGGACAGAAGCTCCAAAAGCATCCAGCTGGGAAGGACAGTGGCAGCAAACGTCACTGGATGATCAGTGCAAACACCGCCCTGCAAAAATGGCTTTCCCAGCATCCAAAAGGATGCTATCAGCTTCTCCTTCTCTTACTGGGAGGGCAAATAATGGAAGTTAATTTTCCAGACATCAAAAAACAAAAACAAGAAGCTTCCAAAATCCAAGCCAACCATCTCTCCATTCCCAGGGATCTTACAGCACTGCCCTGTGTCAGGTGGTCATGCAGAATCAGGGTGAAGTGCAAAGCTACCTTAGAACAGTCAAGGGCATCAAGAAGGTCCCAGTCACCTGAGGCCAGGCCTACAGGCCTACAGGGATCAGTCTGGTAAGACTGAGGACCTTCTAGGATCTGGGAAGCACTGCTCTGCACTTTAGGAAGAGCCAGATACTCTGGGAAAGATCTGGCTGGCTACAAGGATAGGGGCTATGCCTATGGCACTGTGTCACTGTGTAGCTCTTGGGACTCTCTGACACTCTTGAGTCCCGATGTCTTACCCAGAGTCTGTGCCTGCCCCAAATATATATTGAGTGATACACAGGTTGTTACTTGAGAAAGGGAAAGACATTCAAAATCAGAGTGAAAAGAGCAGACGTAGCTGGGCACATCTGCCTTGGAAAACAATATGGTGAATGTTAAGAGCCAAAGGAGCCTCATAACAAGACTCATGAGAAATTGCACAAATCATAAGACTTAAAATTAGAAGAGCTTGCCTGAAACAGCTATCTATTGTTCAGTTAATTCTGTGTGTTCCAGAAGAGTGATTGCCTTTATTTAGGATATAAAAACAGGTAACCAATGTCTCCCAATCTTAGTTGTGTTTATATTAGGACTTGTAAAAATACATCTCCTACCACTAATCTCGAAAGACAGGTCCATCTATTTGTACTTTTTAAAAAGCTCTTAGAGCCAGGCATAGTGGTACATGCTTGTAAATCTAGCAACTGGGAGGTTGAAGCAGGAAGATCAAGAATTTGAGGCCACACAGTGGGTTCAAGGCCAGCCTGAATTATATAATGAAACTGTCTCAAAACACAAAACAACCAAAAACCAATGAAACCCAAAATTCTTTAGGTAGTCATGACACATAGCCATATATCCAACCCTGGATCTAACATGTATGTTTCATTTATCTACACTGTATCTAACTCTGTGGTGGCAAAACTATGCCATGCATGCTGCAGAAAGTTGTTTATATCATTCAAAGTTCTAAAAGGTTCACCTGCACTGATCTAGTCTATATAATATATAAAATATCTACCTATATATTAAAGGAATGTTCAAAATACATAGGCAGGTGGGGGAGAGCTGTTCCTCCAGAGAGCTCAAAAGGCTAGAATAAAGAACTCTATAAAGGAAGCTGATTTTTGCTCCTGGAATATTCTTCCTTAAACCATTAAAAGCCGGTTTAAAAGGAAAAGTTTATGCCTTGGAGAGTTGAAAGATTCCTAACACATCAAATTTGCTAGGGGTATCACAGAAAAGCTTCACACATGGAATTCTACCTCACTGCATGCCCATGTGGAGAAATTGGAATGAATAACTTTTCATCCAGTGTTTTCATAATTAAAGGCACCGTAACATTTATGAACCCCTATTTATTGTGTTTGGCACTTCACAGAAGTTGCCTATCTTATTCCCCAGGACACAGGAAACAAGATCTATACTTTATCCATCTGCTGGAGAGAGCCTGGGTCCCCTTGCATTCTCTACTTTAGCCAGCTGTCCCCCTAAGACTGCCAAACGCCCCAGGCATACTGGCCTCTGATTATACCTGTCCCACCTAAGAGAAGCATAGAACCTCTCTCAAGCAGAATCCTTCAAAGCTCTCGAAAGCCTCTGTCATGTGGCCCCGCCTCTGGCTGAACCTAAGCAGTGATTTCAGCATTCAGAAGCCCTGGGTCTTGGAGGCCTCTGGCACCACTTGCTTTCCACTGGCCGGAAACAGTTTGCCTTTTCCTAATCCCTTCCCAAAATACTTCTCCACCAGGCTGTGCTTAACTGAAACCTCCCCTCCAATGCAAAGAGTGCAGGCTATGATTGAAATTGGGGTTCTAGGAACTCAAAGCCTTTCTTTGGAGAAGGTTTTTATCAAATGCAGATGTAAAAGGTGACAGGAGATAAGAACGCAGTGTGTGCCCCAGGCCTGTGCCCCTACCCCACATGGAGCACGATGACATTGTCTAGAAATTCATTCATGGTCCACCTGCTCTGCACTGTCTGTAACTCCCATGAGGGTGGGAACACTGTCACCACCAGACACCTCAGCACCTGCTGTATTAAAGGCGCTCAGCAATTTATTTTTTTATCCAATAAATAAAAATGGACAAAAGATCAAAAACACATCCACAATGGAGAAAAGTTTACCCAGAGAATTCCCAAAGCTAAAACTTTGTAATTGGAGAAAAGTTACATTTGCTGGGTGCATGGTGCTGCCACAAGGGACACACACAAAAGCAGCAGTCTGCAGTCCCCACTAAGCTGGAGGGAAAAGATAAACAGGTAGCAAGCTGAACCTTTATCTTAAAAGAGCAATGCAAAATTTAAATAACAATGGTAATGCTTTCACAAGGCAGCATGTAATTGCCAATGTATTATATGAAGAAAAAAGCCATCATTATTTTTCTTCAGTTATATCCTGTCTAGGACAAAACTGGCAAGCAGCTAGGAACAATGATCAAAAACCCGCTAAAAATCACGACTAAACACACCCACTCGCCAATGTTTTATCTTGCACCATTTTTGTTTCAAGATGACAATCTGAAACAGAAACTCTGTCCCGAAACAATTAAAGGCTTCTCGGATCATCAAGGAAAAGCCCTATAAAAGCCAAGCATTTAAAAGTCAAGGTAAAACAGCTTCCTCACGCTTCAGTATTTCTTTTTTTAATGCTTCATACGACAAATTTCAGAGGAATGTAAATTTTAGAAAAACTTGGGTACAAAAAAATCAATCCAAAGACCAAAGCTCAGATACCGCCTTCACTGGTAGAAATGTAAATTAGTCCAACCTCCCTGTGGGGCAGTTTGGCAATAAATAGCAAATTGTAAAATGTATTATTATCTCCTTATTGTAAATGAATTGCTGGGTCAGAGTACAGCAGGCGCAGGAGAGAAATGCATTCACGAGGGCGGTCCTGACAGCACTGGTTGTAATTCCAAATAATGATCCTAATGATACTGGAAACAACCTAAATGTTCCTAACTAAGGGTTTGAGTGAGTCAATCATGGTACTGCAGTACCACAGAAACAATAGGGCCCACTGACACAGAAAGAAATCTCTGACACATTATTGAATGGAAAACACTGTCTGGCAAACACCACATACGATCCCATTTATGTAAAAGTGTACACAGCCACGTTCACCATGTGCAGTCATACCACGGCAAAGTTGCACCCAAACATTACTGCAGGCTGCTTTATGTCAATGAAAATAGAGGGCAAGTGTTAGCTCTTTGTTTATTTCTGTATTTACTTTTTTCTATTTTAAACAAAATTTAACAGTTTAAAATGAACTTCAGTTATTTACAGATCATCTCATACTATGCAAAGTGTTGCACATTCTCCACAGCAGCTTTCATTCTGTGACATTCCAGGGTACCACTGTGGGATCCACCTATATCACCCTGCTGGTCCCTCTCCAGCATGCCATGTAACAGAATGTGAGGACAACGCCCCCTCTGCCACCCTGGGAAGACAGAGTTGTATGAGCTGGGTTGTCAAATCTTTACAAATATTTCTGAATCATGCCCTCCGTTCAGCAGGGTCAGACCCTACTGGATGACCAACCCTGCCCCAGGAAGGAAAAGGGGCCTGAGTTGGAGCTCAACAGCCTGTAAAGCAGATCAGGTGTCAGGTCCTAGGCTGGGCAAGCTCCTCCCCCTCAGTCTAAGCCAGTGCACCTCCAAGCAAGGAACAACTGCTGTCTGCGCTTGAGGCCAGAGGCAGCCTGAGGAAGGAGACCAGCAGACCAACAACCCCAACTTACTCTCCACTGCAAAGGCAGTCCCACTCACCTGGGAAGTACAGACTCTCAGAAATCACAGGAAGCCACCACCTCTAGAGCATATGAGGTGGTCCAGAGCCCAACAGGCTGTGACACAAAAGTAATCCATTAAGAGTCCCCACATGGGGTTGGAGAGTGGCTCAGTAGTAGAGCAGGCACTTAGCAAGCAACAGGCATGGGTTCAAGATGAATCTGACAGAAGCCAGGAGGAGGGAGCTCATCCTCCAACTTCTGGAATTATGGAGGATGCTCCAAGGAAGAGGAAAGGGAATGAAAGAGGGGACTCACAGGTGAGAATGTCCACTCGGAGCTAGGCAGACTCCTTTAATAAGCCCTTTGGCAGATAGAATGGTTATTCCTCATTTAGGAGGCAAACACTGACAGAAGCAAAGACACTGGATCAAGGGCAGAGGGTCACTAGGCAAAAGAACTTCAAATGTTTGTCTTTTCATCCCACAAGTCTCCCTTGGAGTACTGGACGGACAGCATTCTTCTCCCCCTGATTCATTTTCTCCTTCAGCTTTTCATTTAAAGAGCACAACAGAAGGCAGTCAGCCGCTACACATGGCTCTTTCCTTCCCTGTAATAATGAGCTCTGAGAACATCCCAGATAGGTCAGGGTTCATGTTGCCCCCAAAGGATCTCCAAGAACTAACCCTCCACACAACCAGCTGGAACATCACAGTGATTGCCCCTGCAGGAGATGTATATAATAAAAATTGAATGCTGCAGCATGAACTTCATGCATACTTGTCCTCTTGGTTTATTCATCAGAAATAATTATCTGTGCTTGCTTTCACAAGAGCACATATTTTATAGGGTACATTAAAATTTAATGGATTTTTAATAATATTGTAACTACTGCAAGAGAAAAACTAGAATAAAGCTGTGCCACATGTCTTTGCTGCATTTTGGTGGTTTGGCTCCAGCATCGCAGAAGAAGAACTAATTTGGCAAGGAGGGGCAGGCAGCAGAGGGCGAGGAACTTGGATGTCACACACATGGTATGAAAACTTTCTGGCTGACTCCTGGCACAGGAGAGCTCTACTAAGGCGGGGAAGTCAAGAGGATGAAGTCTCACATCCACACACAGCCCTCAATGGTGAATCACACTTGATTTAACCTGGCTGTGCAACTTGGAACCCAGATTGACACAGAAGGGAGCTAGCAATGTGGAATCATAAAATAGACACTTCAATCGTGCAACCGCACTTGCTGGTTCCAGCCAACAGAACTTAACTCCAGAGATGGAACAGATCCGAAATGCCATTCAGTGTCTACCAACCTAAAACGTATAGGTAGGCAAGCCAAGGATCGTAGAAGGTAAATGCAGCTCAAGATCATGGGTGAATTTTTTAAAAATCAACGATTATATAGGACCCAGGTGGAAAGCATGCCCTTTACTTTAAGTTGGATAACAAAGATAATATCAAGTCTTCAATAATCTGCTGGATTTCAAATTTTGCATTTTCAGCTCTTTTTGAGAACTAGTATTTTTTGTGAGCTACCTCCTTGTTTTTATTTTGATATGCATTACAAAAGATCACTCTAACTTTTCAAGAAAACTTTTCCCTCTTCCTGTGGAACATAAGCCCACACAGGTGAAGGTCCTGTCCAGAGGTCAAGAGGAGGTGGTTTCCATGGTTCCTTGTGGAAGCCCAGTGGAGTTTGTGGGACCTCCAGACATGTCATCAGCACAGAGACCAGTATCTATTTCTGGCCAAGGAAAGGAGCACATGGTGCCTGGCTATCAATGAGACACCCACAGCCAGGCTGACTCACCCATTCGTAAGCATTCTGACAAAAATAACACCTTGGCAAAACTGTGTTTCCTCATCTTTGACAAAGTAATATCCAAATTAAAATGAAAAAAAGGCTTAAATGTTAAGTGATGATGGTGATTTATCTTGCACTGATTTATGTACTGCGCCATATCTCCGATGGGCAGGTCTTTTCCATGACATCAATTCAGACCACAGATAGGAGAATGATGACAAGGACAGCCAGAGAAAGAGTATGACTTTGGAGTTCATTAGTTCTGAACAGATCTTCTCTGTCCCTTGGCAGGTTGGTGTCACCGAGCAGGTGCCTTCCTGAGCTTTGTTTTCCTGACTGGTGACAATGGGTATAAGGAGCATCTACCTTGCAGGGATACTGTCAGAATGACACATTGACACACATCATATATCATCATCATTTATACATCATCAGTGTAGCAGCTCGCACACGACAGAGATGCAATTAATGACAGTTCCTGTTTACGATACAATTGATAGTTGTTACTAAAATGCCTAGAATTTACTGTCACTAAATATGATTCAAATAGGTCACTGGTTCCTTCCCATTGTTATATATAAGCTGCATAGTGGCAAAAGCTGTGTAATATTAAGTGGTATGAAATACTAATTCATTATGTACTATTAAAGCCCAAAATATTGAACACAGCAGCAGTAACTGCCCGACAATCCTCTATATGCCTTTCCACCAAGGTGTGACTTTTAGCTATTTTGTTACAGTCTCAATAAGAGAGGAAGAAGAACAGAAGGAATGGATGGGGAAGTGGGAGGAAGCGTGGAAGAGAGGAAGGCCAACAGCAGGCTAGAAGGTCCCACATGCCCATGGATGGGCTCATGGTGTCAGCTACGGGGGAAACCTCTCCTTCCGCATCCCACATGACCCCTGCCCACTTCCCCAGCACACAGCCATAACTATCTATAGCTGGATATATTAAGTCTATGAAATCACATGACCTCTCAGTGTCAACACATGCTTCAACAGAGGGCAAAGGACTGCCATGGGGCCATTAAGTGAGGACATTAAAAGCGTTGATGTAGCTAAAGCACATTAACCTGTGAAGGAAGCCAGGCTTTAAGCTGCCGCGCCACCGACATAATAAAAAGTAAAGAGGCCTCAGTAATGGAACCAATATTACAGCCATTGATATAAATTATACCTCAGAACAGGGAAGAAGGGGGTGGGATGTAAAAATGGAACAAGTTCAAACTTCTTTTATTGTAATAGTCTCCAGTTGAGCATAATCACCAAAGCTATAGTGCGATGCGATTGCCAAAACTAGACAAACATCTGTGAGACGGATTCATCTCAGAGGGGAGGCCAGCAGCTTGTTATCATTAAAGCGGTGATGCTCGCTCCGCGACTGAACTGCAGGCCGCCTTGTTACTGCGTTTGTGGAGGCAATTGTACCAGATGTTGGCAACTATCTTCAGATAGATGACAGGCACCTGGTGTTGAGGAAATGAAGCTCCTCCTTGGCCTCCCTGATTTGGGGAGTGGGAAGGAGGGACAAGGAGATGTGACCCTTCTGCAGATCCCATGGCAAGGCCCAAATGTGTCCCAAACGGTATGTCACTGTCAGACAGGGGCTTTCTTATCTGCTCCCACTCAGCCACTCATGCCAAAGACCCAAGAAAGCCAAAAGGAGGTGGGGGAAAGGTAGAGATGTTTGGAGGAATCAAATTCACAATGGGGACATAAAAAGCTCTTCGAGATCAACTCCCAAAGCAGGTTGCTCTGGGTAACAGTCTCGGGAACTCTTCAAGAGATCCTAAATTTGAAATGTGGTTTTGGATATTAATCATCATTAAAAGGCAAACAGGCAATTTTCAAACCATGTCATGCTGACTCAGATGGAGACAAAAGCTTGGAGAGTGGGAAGAGTGAGGACCAGAGATAAATACCACTCGTGCCACCCCAGACAAATAAAAATCACAACAGCCCATAATTCATTTTTCAGAGTGCCCCAAACCTCCACTGCTAGTTATTGGACAGAAGTGATTCAGTGAGCAGGGCTGACCCACCTCTACCTGGCCTATCAATGGTGGCCTCATGGAAGGGGACCACCCACCTAGGCACTGCAGATGTGGCTTGATGACTCCTTAGCTGGTGGCAGGCCACGGAACTGCCAAGGACCAAGCAGATGGGCCTATCCCGGAGGGCTATGTTCTGCTGACAAGGTCACGTCACATCATCCCTGCCTCTGCTAAACTGTGCTGATGCAGCCCTCAGCTGGTCACTGGGGCCATCTATGAGTATGTAGCAATTCTCTGTCCTCTCAGAACCAGAGTTCAACCAGAATACCTGTACTCTACTCATGCTCATGTACTGTGGCTGACACAAGGACACAGATACTGACAACTGCCCTTGTAGAGGGGCAACAGCTTGGACTCATCAGCATAGACATGCCCAGCCAGGACCCAGTGTGTCTTCGCAGAAATGGTGACCATCACTGTGTTACTCCTGAGTCTCAATCTTTTCATCTTATAAAACAGCCTCCAAACGTTCCTCTAGCACTACACAACTCAAGGACCCTAAATTGCCCTAATCACAGCCCAAGAAATAAAAAGGTTTGGCCCAAAAAGTTGAAATTTTTAATAGACATGTTAAAGCCTCTACTGGTAGCCCAATTTGGGCTCACTCTAATATTGAGCCACAAAGCAAAATGAAGCATGCCTCCTTAGCCTGTAATTAAGATTGTTTCATGTCCTTAACCAGTAAGAACTTTACTCTGTTCAAATGAAAAAAAAAAACTTTCAAGTTCCTAGGACAGAAATGACAAATTTTCAGAGAAATACTTACTAGAGAATACAGAAATCAAGGCATCAATTTAATTTCACACTCTACCTGCCTTGGACTAATTTTCGTAAATTACTTTTCATACTAAGGACCTCGGCCCACGTGACCACAATGGAGAAATAAGCAGCTTGCATCAAATTGAGTTTCTTCAGGTATAAATATATAGCTCTTTTTAGTATGTGAATGTTTATCTGAATTCTCAATACAGGTTTTATATAAAAATTTCCAAGTGTTAATTTCCACATTTTCATCAACATGTTGATGTCATCGCATTTACAGACTTAAGGAGTGCAAATTAATCCATGAGAATGTTTCTTTTTCTCCTCCTCCTCCTCCTTCTTCTTCCTCTTCCTCATTTTCTTCCTCGTCCTCTTCCTCATTCTCAGAAAATTATTATGACCAAATTCCCAGCTTACAGGTGTCAGCACTTAAGGATCCATTGCACGAAGCTGAAAGAAGTTTCCACTTGGTTCCTTCATGTTAAGAAATGCAGGCAGACAAGTGATACACAGCAACAAGCCTTTGGGAGTGTATTCACAGGTACGATCTTCACTAACGGCTGCTACTACCTCCTAGTGCACCGTCCCCAGGAAGTAGCAGCTGCACAGCTCAGAAAGCAGTGAGACCCCAAGCCTCATCACTCTTGCCCGTCCAAGGGCTTGCATCTGCAGCAACCTCCCTAGCTCCCTAGTCCTTATACTTACAGCTCCTTCAAAAGATTCTTCCAATGGATTGGAGAGGCAGCATTACACATGACCGTTCTGCTGTATGTTAGCATGATAGGACTATTATTCCAAATGAGTATACTTGCACCCCAAAAGAAATTTTAGGACTGACCCTAACAACATTCTCAGTTATATGAAATCATGACTTTCTTTGAGACTCAAGCCAGAAACTGAGAATATCTTCCACAGTAACTTACAGCCCACAGGCCACAAGCAGCCTGCTGCCTGTTTTTGTAGAGGAAAGTTAAAACTGGAAGACAGCCAGGCTCATTCATTTACATATTGTCTGTGGATGTTTTGTGCTACAACAGCAGAACTGCGTGGCTGGGACAGAGAGGGTATGGTCTTCAGAGTCTAAAATATGTGCTATCTGGAAGTCTGTCAATTCCTGGTCCATACAAACATGGTGCTTGAAATGAGCCTAAGAATAATAATCAACTGCATAATCTCTGAATACTGGGAGGACCCAATATATATGAGAATTATGCTATTTCTTTTTGTTGCCTCTTTAAAAGATAACTACAATTAATACACTTGACTTGGGACACTATTCAAATTGTCACTGACTCTGCCTGTTCTTCTGTCCTCGCACATCTGAGAAGTCACCATTGTCCCTTTTGTTGGGCTACCAAGTCCTTCACTAGCTGATCCCATATGACATGCATGTAGGCAGCAATGATGAGACAGAACTATAACTCTATTTGCTGAGGTTCTCTAAACATGAAAAGGCAGCGTCCACTGTATCGTTCAAGGGTCTGACCAACAAGCAAGCCTAGCAGCGGCTTCTTCTCCATACACAAGGTAAGATGACAAAAAACAAAACAAAGCAAAAAAACAAACAGATCGGAGGAAGAAGAAGGGAGGAAAGTCCTAGGGTGTGTCCTCAGTGGATAACACTGGAGCAAGACAGAGGCAGATGTTCAAACTGAGCCCTCCCCTCTCTGTTCTTCAGCTGACAACAAAGTCAGACTCATTATCTCAAGCCCACTGAGGTAGGCAATCTTCACTGGATTCCTTCTAAAGTGGGCACAGGCAGAACTCCTCTATCATTGCTTACGTAGGACAAATCACTTCTGAGCTCCCTCCTACCATCAATGGCAATGCTGGTTTTCTAAGGAATCTGAGATAAATGTTGAGTACTCCATGCAGGTCAGTGCTCAGGCTGGCATCAAGGCAAATGAGCACTTTCCAAGGCTGCCTCAGGGAGGAGATTAGGGCACAGAGCTCAGAACAGCACCTGCCATCCCTACCGGTTAGTAACAACTAGCAGGTTCCTCCCTTGTGCTTTCCACACCAAGACTGCACTGCAGTTCTGTTTCCAGCATTTTCCAGTCCTCTGCTCCATGGTCCACATGGGCAGGGACCCCACTCAGCTCATCATCTCTAGAACTCAGCTGCCAAATGCACAAATGGTAGGCAAGTATCACCATTCCAGGGCCTCCTCAGCTACAGCCAATGGAGGCATCTCTCCTCTCTGCTTTCCACCATCTCCATGGTCTCCAGCATCCTGAGAGCTCCCAAACTTCTCCACAGAATGTCCTCAAGTAAGCTGAACACATGCCATGTGCCTAGGGGGCAACCTAGACATGCAGAAGCAGGTAAGGGAGACTGGCACAAAACACTCTCAGAAGAGAAACTAAAAATGGAAGTGCTGGGGCTGGGGATTTAGCTCAGCGACATAAGCACCTGCCTTGTAAGCAGGCGGTCGTGAGTTCGATCCCTGGTACCGGTAAAAATGAAAAAGACCAAAAAAAAAAAAAAAAAAAATGGAAGTGCTTCCAAGTATTCAATAAAATATATCCAGACACACCCTCACTAAGAAAGGATGCTACAGACAAAACTGTAAAACCCAAGTCTGGGGAAGACAGAAACTTCCATCACAACAGGCCTTTTGAATCACTTGCAAAAGAATTAGAGGTGACTTCCTATGAGAAGGGAAATTATTTGAGGTGGCTTTCCCACCTCATGTGCCTTCTTAATCCGAGTTATATGCAAGAAATATTTATGAAGGGTAGAAGTCGCCCACAGGTGTGTTTGAAGAGCAGACCACATTGGCGCACTGCAGTTAGCTTTATAAAGCTGCCTTCAAAGAATATTTTCAATGCACAGTCTCATTTGCTTTAAACTCATTTCTCATAAGATCTGCTTTCCTGAACCAAACACTTGGGGATGCTACCATGAAGATGGTGGCTTCCCACAGAAACTTGGCATTTATCATAGTGAGAGCATTATCTTCTCAACAGAAGCTGACAGTTTGTTCCGTTCCTCCCTCGAGAGAATCCAGCAAGATCACATTTGCTTCCCCTGCATGCTGTTTCTCCTAGTACAACATTTCTTTGCCTGGAAAGAAAATATTGTGACTCCTTGCCATATTCACTTCATTAGCATAAGAGGAGAAAAAGCCAATTCCTCCCATTGGCCTCCCCCCAAGCAGTTCCAGCTGGGTTAAATCTAACAGGATCTTAGATGCAGAATTTGTCAGAGAGCTGATGACTGTAGAGTGAGGTACAGAGACCAAGAGTAACTCTGAAACTAGTCCCTTAAAAGCTGAGTCTATCTATTTGGCATGAGGAAGTGTTCTGCACAGATAAAGGTAGAGAGTTTATTGAGGTCGCGTCCCTGGAAGTCAACAATTCCGACGTTCACCAGGGAGGAGGGAATCATCATTGAGCACCCATGTGCCAGACACTGGCCAAACCTGTCTCTTTTCATTCTCATCCCCCCCCATAAATTAAATTATAGCCCTAATTAACTGATAAGAAACAAGGTTCAGGACAGTTAAATCAAAAGCCCAACATCGCAATGTTAATGGCAAACACAGACATCTGGATTCAAGCTTAGTCTGTCTGATTTGAAACTACAGAACCATTCATCATTAACCCTCATCATCCAGACAATTCTCAAGAGTCTGGCAGTAAGTGACAATGGTGTCCCCTTCATGGCCCTCCCCATCAACAGCCAGATTTCCAAGAGTCAGAGATGTTTGTGCTTTGGCTTTAATGTTGCTGGACACATTTCCATTCCGCAGCCTGGCTGATCACCCATTCCTAAGGATGCATACGCCCATGAGCCTGGGGGTGTCAAGGCCCCCAGTGGCTTCAGAAAACCCCAGGCTCCACCTAAGACCCCCTCCACACACTCAGGAGGTCCACGAGCTTTCCTATAGACCAGAGTCGGAAAGAAGAGCAGGTAGAACACACACATCCTGTGCTTACCTTCTTCCTCCCATCCTTCCCCCTGTGAGGCAGCCAGATGTCTCTCCTCCCCAACTCCTGTTCCGGAAGGGCCTTGCTTTAGTTCTATGAAGTTGTGGCTATACAGCACAACTAGCTGATTTATTCTCAGTTGCAAGGAAACACTATGCTTCACCTAAATTCTCCAGATAAATGAATATATATTATCTTAAAGCACCATTTAAAAATGCTTAAAATGGTAAGTTCGCATTTGAAACTCCTTCTTGAGTGACTTGCACAGCTGTACCCTCTGCTGCAAAGGGGCTACACATCCTGCCAGTATTCACTGCACACTAAACTACTGCCAGGTGATGGGCTGGTCCTGGGGCTCCACAGCCAGGAAACAGACCCAGCCCCACTCGGTGCAGTTACAGTCTAGTTCAGGTAAAGAGGCTACACATGTCTGGTTTTTTTTCTTGATAAGCCAAGTACCCCCCCTTTCATATCTCCATTATAGATTTTCTCAGCTCCTGATTTATTTTATAGCAAATTTGTAACTTTTTTTATTATTCACTTGCTGGCTTGGGGCTGGTCCTTCTCTTCCTCCAACCCATACTAAAAACGACTACAAGGCTGAGGATGTGGCTGAGCAGCAAAGCACCTGCCTTGACAAGCACAAGGTCCTGAGTTCAATTTCCAAGCAAAAAAAAAAAAGACTACAAATTAGCAGAGTCTGTTCCATTTACTGATGGACTGCTGGCTCCTGACATTCAAAAGATAACCAAGATCTACTGAATGAATCAAAGAAAGAATGCATGATGTACGAGGCTGTTGATGCAATGCTTTCTGGGCCTTATAAGGACGGCTCTTTCCCTATACTAAACAGTCCCACAACATGGAGCTTTTTAATATTGAAGGCTCTTGCTTTTCATAGGTTTTTCTCCCTCCTTCCTTAAACATTGAGTTTATTAACATCTTCCCATCCCTTAATACTTCCTATAAATTCAAAAGAAGCCAGAAAACCAAGCTTATGAGAAGCTTATGTAAAGGAAAAGGAAAGAAAACTTAAATGAGGATGTGAAAAGCTCCCTCGAGGCAAAATAAATGCAATAAACACATTAGTGAATCAATACACTTAAATGTATTTTAATAAACATCAGCTAAGTGATACTGGGACAATTTCCAGATTGCATTCTCTATCCCCCCAAAAAACTGTTTATTCAAAAAGTTATGCAGTCCATCCATAGAGTCCAGTTGGAAGAATTCTCCCCTGGTCAACATCAGTTCAGCATTTTCCGTCAAAGCCAGAGCAACCTGATGGTCGCTTCCACAAACTTCAGCATCAAGGTGGTTGGGTTGGACTTGGACACACTCTATCAAAAACGACATAAAACGGAACCTTCAACATTATGCTCCAAAAATCCAGGAGGGACTTCTCAATTCGTGTCTTCCTCAAGGTGGGTGAAAGAACTGAGTGGTAAATTCATAGTCAAAAGGACCTTGGTCTCAAAGGTGGAAAATAACAAACGGTAGCAGTCAATGTTCCAACAGCCTGCATCTGGCAGGATGCTGAGAACTACAGCTGCACTGGCTCATTTAATCCTCACGACATTTTTTAAGTACCATCATCCTCCTCATTTTCCCAAGAAAGAAGCTCAGGCAGGACAAAGTTAAACCATCTGCCTGACATTCAGAGCTAATCCAGATGGGACACATCGGTGTGAATTCTACCTGCCCATTCCCTTATCACTGGGCAATACCCTACATCAAGAGGTTGGCAAGCATTTGCCCATGGGTCAATCTGGAAAATCTTTGTGTTTTCTCTCTCTCTTTTTTTTTTTTTTGCCTTTTTCCTTTTTATTGGTACCAGGGATCAAACTCATAATTGCCTGCTTGCAAGGCAGGCACTTATGCCGCTGAGCTAAATCCCCAGCCCCAATCTTTGTGTTTTCTGTAAATAAAGTTTTATTGGGACACAGACATAACTACACATTTTTGTATCATCTTTGGATCTTGTCATGATACAGTGGCAGAGCTGAGTGATTGTGAGAGACCATCTGGGCCATCAAACTGAAAATAGTTATTATCTGGATCCTTACAGCAAAAGTTTGCCAGCCCCTGCCCTAGGCAGGACATAGCAGTGAGTCTTGACTTTTCTACCCATGGACTCCTAAGAGCAGGTACGTGAAAAGAGTTTTAGGCACAGTTAGAAGACAGAATATAAAGTAAAGTGGCCTTTATTTTAAAGATGCAGAGAGACACTCCATGACCTCCCGGGCCTGGCTTTCTCTGTCGGACATGTGGTGTGGGGGCATACATATAGCTTTGGTCTGGGGTGGTCCCTAAAGGGGCATTACTGATGTGCCAGCAGCCAATTGGAACTCATTTCGTACCACTGGTAAATTGCTTAGGGGCGGGGAAGATGACCTCAAGATAAAGTCCCTTGGTTTGGTCTCCCACTGCTGTAGTATCCTATCTAGGGCAAAATCCTTTCAGTACAGAGGTTGATGGAGTCATCAGCTACCCTGAAGTGTCTCAGATTATGGCTGATTTTAAAAAAGAATTACGCAAAGTTTGCATTCTGGGTGATAAAATATATTCTTTGTAACATGTTTTAAACAAGCAACCATAAAGAGTTACCCCCAAAATGATGTGCTATAATAATTCTATGGCGTTAAAAAAAAAAAAATGCTGTAAGCGCCTGCCTTGCAAGCAGGCAGTTGTGAGTTCGATCCCCAGTACCAATGAAAAGACAAAAAAAAAAAATGCTGGCCAGAGCCCACCATACACCCACAGGGTAGGGATGGGGGCTGGAGAAGCTCATGGATGGTAAGAAACTCAGGCCTTCTTGGCATAAGGAACCAGCCTGGAGGGCCTGGGGATTTAGCTCAGCGGCATAAGCACCTGCCTTACAAGCAGGCAGTCATGAGTTCGATCCCTGGTACCGATAAAAACAAGAAAGAAAAAAAAAAAAAAGAACCAGCCTGGACTTGGGGCCCTCTTCAGTCTGGCTGAAGAAGTTAGCAGAAGTCATCATCTATACTTTCCTGGTCTTCCTTCCTAACCTTACAATGGTCTTATAAATTGGGACAATTCTAAGACAAAAGATACATGAATGACAAGGACAAACAGGAATCCCTGATCTGAACACAAAGGCCAATCAATCCTCCTTTTTGGCTACCAAAACAGGTCAATAAGAAAAATGAGGTGGTCTTCTGAAAAGATAAACATAAAAATATTTGTTTCCATATGCAAGGTTCTGCATGTCCCTTACAGACCCCAGCACTTCGTGTCTGGCTTGCCCTCCTGACATTCTAGAAGAAAGCTAGGAGTAAGGGCAGGAAGCCTGTGTCTGATCATTCAACACTCTCATTTATTTTTCCCTTAAGTGAAAAACACCTTAAATTGTTTTTTTAAATACTAACGTGCTATAAGCAAGTCAGAAAATATTTACTTCTGCCGCTAATTATAAAAGACCGTTAGCGACCTCAACCACCAAAATCTCTAATTTGCAACTAATCCACTTGCACAAATTACATCTTCTACAACAGACCACCTAAAAAATGACTTCCTGTAAACAAACCACTCTGCTGGATTTTTTAATCTAATTAAATCCTTATTTTGCTCTTTAACTACAAGAAGCTCACTTTTCATTACACTGGGGCAGAATTTTTTTATTTTCAAGAATCACAGAAATAATCACCAAGTAGGAGCCCGAAGGGGTGCTACGTTCCAAGCCAATGACAAGCCACCTCTGGCCCGGGACTGCAGCTCTGCCCTCCCTGTCCCTCCCAGGCCTGTACTTATAAGCCTGTACTCATAGAGGTCCTGGGCTGGCTCCTGCTGGGTTAAATCAGGCAGGCAAAATGCAAATGGGTATGAAGTCAGTGTTCTACAGCACCCAGGAAGGAATATTTTTCATTTCCCTGGAGGTAGTTACAGAAGTTAGTGAGCCTTTTAAGGTGCCAAAGTCAGCCCTTGCCTTGAAATCTTCCACCTCTCCTTTTTTTAGGGTGACATTCATCTGGCCTGCAAGTCCTATTCTCCCGGAAACCCTCGCAAATCCCAAGAAAACCAGGACAATCGGTCACCCTACTTTCATCCTGCCCAGGTTGCGGGGATAAGGTCCTACAATTAGGAATCCACCAATAATAATACTGTCTCCCATCTTCCTGCATCTGTCTCCAGCCATCCCAGCCCACAAGCTGCAACAAGGAAACATCAACTTTTCACAGCACCAGACTTTCCAACCAGATTCCTCCATCCTGGAAACATCATGGTCACAAAAATGCCCCACAAAGAAAAAAGGACACAGACCAGGCTGCAGAAAGTACATGGCCACAAGGCAAATCGAATCCCAGTTTGCCAGTAACTGACTCTCCAAGACAACACCAAGTAGAGGGAAAATGGAAGCCGCATACACAAATCCAATCTATCCCATCTATTTATTTTATGCAAAGTTTTCCTGGTGCTTATTAATGCCGGCTTTCCCTCCACCATTTAATCTCTGCTTCCATTTCATTCTTAGAGCCTGTGATTATTCTAATTCAGCATTTGGATGACTTCATTTCCGCTCAAGTACACCCAGGTCAACTTGGATAGAAAAGAAAGAGGAGGAGAAGAAAAATAATCAGCTAAAAGCTATTAAATATCAGCCGTGTGCCTCATGATTAGTTTTAAAGGCAGTGGTGAGGTTAGCAACAGTCAGAAATTCACCTCCTTCTGCCTCTGCCTGCATATTAACATTTTTTCTGGGGCTCTCACTATTATGGCTTCGAATGTAAATAAAGCACAGATTGGCAGCCCACTTTGCGCTAATTCACAAATACCAAGTCTGAAAACAGCACTGTAAAAATTTAGAGGGCAGTAACTTGACAAATCCGGCCATTCTACAGAGACTATTTCTATGAGAACAAAAGAAGGAAAAAAGGGAAAGAGAATGGAAGAAAAAAGAGAAGCATATAGACCCATGTAATGGGGTATCCTATTGACAGACAGGGTGGGGGGCAGGCGGGAATCTCCATATCAATGTTCGCACTGCCAAACAATGGAGTTCGATTTCTATGCCAAGTCTAAATGAACTGTGCTTTCTCTTCCCTAAGAACCACCCCTTGCACCCCCTGGCACAAGCCCGGGCCATGATTTCTGGTACACTTTTTCAGTTCCCACTGAACTATGTCTAGAGAGAGAAAGCTTTCTTTTCTCATGCTAACAACTCCATTGTAAGTGACCTCTTCAGAGGCCTGCAGGAGGACTCTGGGAAGGTGAGCTAGTGGAAACACTTCACCCCCCTCCACTCCCCACTGCTGGCCTCATTAACTCCTTGGTGTCCAAGGGCTGCTCTGCCCCTGGCATCTTTCTTCTTGGCCCAGAGGCAGAAAAACTAAATATGGGCAAACTCTACTAGAAAACGCATTGAAACTGCGGTAGAGGAAAGTTTGGACTTCCTTCCTTTACCTACTATGCAAATGAACACGGCATTTGATTAGCATAATCTCAAAATTCTCCCAGCTTGCTACCCAGAAGGCATTCTATTTTTCTATTTGTATATTTTAAAACACTGTTAACAGAGCAATAATAATGTCTGATGTCTTTGCCTAACAACAGTTGGTTATATTTTATACACTGAAAGGAAAATGGAAGTTTTCCTGGAAATCTACTATCTTTTTTTCAGGAACTCTTTCTGAAGCAAAAATAGGGAGATTTAGGAAAAGTGATGTGCGGTGTTTAATCTGTGTCCAACTGGAACCCTCCAATGGCTGCAGCAGAAATTGGTCTCGGGTGGCAAAGCTGGCCAGCAAGCAGCAAAGCTGTTTGGCGGGTGGCACAGTCCCAGAGGTGATGTGGGTTTACTCTGTGTCCCTAGCCTGGCAGCATTGTCATGCCTGCTGAGGAGAACTGTTCCCATGTCAGGGGGCGAATACAGTCCCCTCCTGACAGGACACATTTCTAAAGGATGGAACTGCCACAGACCAGAGAATGAGTAACACGTGGGAGCAGGACTGGCCTTGCTCTGGGCTCTCACAGGAAGGAAACTCAAACCCAAAAGCAGTCTTCAGCACAGCTCCACAGGAAGAGGAAGACTAACTTTTCCATCCTCTCCACAGATCCATCTGAAGAAGACTCTCGGGTGACAGGCGAGGCCCAGGCAAGCTGACTGACCATTTTCCAGTCGATTCATACCCACAAAGGACACACACAATTTTTGTTTTCCAGGCCTCCTCTGAGAAAACCCCACACTATTTATCTGCCACACACATTTGGAAGTGATAGTATTG